CATGGGCATTTATCCCTTTTATCTTTTATCATTGTCCTATCAATTTCGGAAGCGGTTCCTGGGGCAACGGGTGACATCTCGTTTCAGTCAAAGTTTGCAAGAGTACAGATTGTTGTAAAGCTTTATGCGGATCGAGTACATCTGACTGCAATTATTAGCCGTCTCCGTCCTTCGGCGCACTCGCAAACCGCTATTTTAAACCTCCATTTCGCCCCGCCTTTTTCTCAGCCCTGTAGCCTCTCAAAGTCGAATTCTGTTGCAATTTTAGCAGTATTCCATGAACTTTCTCCACATCATTTCGCCGTTGCAATGTATTTGTTTTCCGTTCGTTCTTTTCGATAGTCATCTCTGGTCATTAGCTGCCTTGTTGCACAGCAGATGCGATGATTTCTCGTTGACTTTGATGTCTGACTTGATATTCCAACAGCTGTCCCGAAGGTTTTGAAAAAATCATCATATTTGCTATCTATTCCGTCGCTGATGTTCATTTCAAAATTCATTAATCGTAGCTTTCCGCGAAAGCCTGTGAACCGAATCATGGTTCTTTACGTTGATCTTCAAGCTGTTTTTATTCGTTCTTCTTCCTCGACCGTTGAGCTTAAAAGCTTGTGGTCTGACGCTGTATAGATTGCGTTGTCAGCTATGAGCTGCATGTCTGATATTTGCTAATTACATGGTCAAAATTTTTCATAGACTTTCCGTCTGTTTCTCATGTTCACTACAGCTTGACTCAGAAGTTTTTGTTTTCAGCGAAGATTGCAAGCGACCTCCATGTTTATTTCTTTCCTCTTTTCTGTAGTTTCCAAAAATACCTTCATTTCATTTGATCGTCTCCAAGCAGTGCATTAAAGTCTCCTGGGATAATTGTGTACGCAGTCTTCTTTTCCATTGTGTCTTACAATTCCTCTAGATTGCTCAATTTCTTCATTTTCAGTTTGTTGGGTTAAACTGTAAGGCTGTAGTAATTTGAATATTCTTGTTTTGTCTATCCATGAAATAGAACTGCTATACGAGGTAATTAGTACAATATCACAGCTCAGAACAAATGACACAGTCTCCCTTTCCATCACGAACACAGCCACCGGTCATAGCTCGGTTGTGGAACACCTTCCAAAAAAAAGTGGCCAACAAGTTCGGCTGATCTTCGGATGTCGAATATTCCACTGATGTCTGCCTTGATTTATTTTGATTCCATGATATCGACGTATTTAAAAGTCATTCGACAGCGTTCTTGAATTATGGCTTTCCATGAAATGCTTGATGACGTTTCGGACCCATTTGCTAATCACCTCTTGCAGTTTGCTGAGCTGTAGAAGTTGTTCCCGTGAACGCGGTAGCCTGCGTCTATTTTCCGGGTTTACGCATATCTTTTGGAGTTCAGTTGTGTGACCTCTTTCCGAGTTCCAAAACGTGTGAACTCTTGCTACCGTCTCTTTTTCTTCATCTAGCCAAACGAATTCATAGAAGTTGTGCAATCTTTGTGATTTCGGTCTCTGGTATCCTTACTGCTTTATGCTACCGGAGCCGGCTCCCGCACTACTTCCAGGCCACAATGTAGTAGGAGAGTCAAGACCTACGCTACCTATTTTTTTGGCCAGCTGGTTTTAGTACCTGGAGAGCTTGTTAGGAAAAGTTCATCATTCCAAAAGTCAGGTAGCCATGTTTAGCTACGTATATTGGACATTATCGTAAGCGGAGATGAAAACAAATTTTAGTCGGTAAACCTATGTTTAACTATATTATTCAAATCTAACAAGCGTGGCTTTACAGAGTGCATTTGTTTACAGAACAAAATCGGAGCATCAGATCATTTTATAAGGAACGACTGTGGATTAGCACTTAAATTAAAAAAGTGCGATGCTTCAATCTCAGTACTGAATAAATTTGCTTCATTAAGTGCAAATTTATTTTTTGCAAAAAAATTTTACTATTAGAGTGTTAACAGTTAGCATGAGAAACGAGCAGCAGGTTTGACACCTACGAACCTACGACAGCATGGGGCTCTGCTGTGATTATACTAGTGTGCTAGACTAGTGACGCCAACACTTTCAAGCTGAAACTCGCCTTTAACAATCTGATGGTGGCTGGAACCAGGAGAGATTAAAAACCGTAAACAAAGAAAAAATTAAAATTAAAAATCTAATGATCAGGCAGGATTCTATCACATTATCCTTCGAGTGAGAGTCTCACCCTCTACCGAGTGGGTTAATCTGATTTAACTCAGCAGAAAACGATGTTGCTTAGCTAATTCTCCATTAATTATGCCTATAGCCTACGACGGGGAGGGGGTAACAACTTCAGCTTGGCTTACAAACCAGTTACATACAATCTGATATTCCATCCAATTTCAAGCAACTTCTGAAAGGCAGTAAAATGCCTGGAATCTTGTTGCACAGGCGGAAATGCTATGTTCAGAAAGAGAATCAACTCCATATTCCAGGTTAGAATGTGATGAAGAGACAACCATTTTGTTTATTAATTTCTTAGAGCAAAGAATTAACTCCACGATGCATTAGTGCAACCGAGAACGGCTAGTAAGTCGGTGATTTGCGAAGAATAGCAATTGTATGATATTCTGGTCAGGTCATACCTGAATGTATCGGGTGTACGGTCATATAAGCGCCTTTGTAGCTGTGCTTCATCTTGACCCATTTGATGGCTGCCTATCCAGTGTAATTATTTAAACAAGGTGCATCCCTTTGACGATCTCGATTTAATGATAATTTCATTTCTCTGCGCCTTTTCATCATCAGAGCATAAACCAATCGCCGTTTAAAATGACCTGAATGTCTTATTCAATATCAAAATTTTGTTAATAATGGATTTTACTCTCCTGCCATAGAAATCTTTCCTAAATCTCTGAAGAAAGCACGCCTCTTTCAGGTATACCACAATTATTTTCCGCTTCTACACCAGTATGTTCTCGTTGCACAATGAGAACAAATAATTACCTTACAAGACTGTTACGCTACATATGTTTATCATAAGTTGTATACGGTAGAACACTGGAGTTTCCATCTAAATTTCTTCCTTATATACGTTGGTTCGAATGACTGAGCAACTTAAACTTTTTTATTACTCAGTAATTCTGTGAGCAAGGAACTCAGGCAACCGTGCAACAAAGTGTGAAACTAGTAGCAAGTTGTCATCCTGCAATCAATATGATCAGCAGCATATTACGTCATGACCATAGCAAGACTATAAAAACTCACGGACACGGTGAGGGGTAAGTGCTCTTTGAGATTTCAACTCAATTTCATCATTCTGGTATATGATAAAATCAAGCATGAAACGTATATGAAAAACTTATTTTGCATTTTACACTTTTCGAACAATGAATGATAGGTTATGCGTTGAATTTGGTGACAATCAAAATATCCATATCAACACGGCGTAAATTACGTCAACTCTAGTGCTGCTCTATTATACCACCGTATCATACTCTTTTTATACCTCACTGGCATGCACATTTTTCAACTGGTCTCATTACAGTATAACATTATGAATTCCTGCGCGGATGATCCTTTACATTATTAGTGGCTGCATTTCGTTTTGTCGTTTGCTCCATGTTGTGCATCTCCCACCTTTGAATCTAATCAATGAAACAGCCCAATGTTGAAAATTCACTGAAAACTTGCCCTTATGCAGCAGCCTCAAAGACGTGAGAGAAACAGTGTCATTAAAGATAAATGTCTCAATGAATAAACTGAGGTCATTTTGAATAAGTATACTATCATGGAGCACATCAAGAACAACTGCTACTGTAAGACTTATGTACCAGACAGCGTAGTCACAATTCTCAAATGGCCAGATCAAAGCACCACGCCGTGCAATTACTTGCAAGTGGTCGAATTTTCTACCTATTTCTCGACTGATTTCGAAAAAGTGCATTAAGATGAATTCCTTTCTCAGAATAATTCATATTTTATAAGATCATTTGCCACCGTTCTCTGATTCAAGGAGTCCTGTTCTGTTCCACTGAATAAGCTGATATTATGGCAATTTTGTTCGTTGGCTGAATTTAACCCTGAAACCTTTAGTCTATATTACCGGGAAATAACCCGGTTCAAGAAATACCAATAGCTCATCAAGCAGATAAAACAGCTACACTGCATACCATGAACCACAGTCAACGGTGCGTCTAGTTAGTCAATAGCGCTCATTAATGCAGTGCATTAATGCCAAATAGGAATCTGATTTATGTCAATATCCGAAAATGTCAGATATCTGAACTACGCATTGAAGAAATACCTCAAATTAAAAAAATTTCTGCAATCTTAAAGCACCACACGTCAAAATTATTCGCTCACCTCCTTTCAACAGCATTATCTGGTCATCTTGCTGAAGCTTCATAAAGCCGGGAATCAATTTCGCGAATTCGATGATCTGCTGGACCGCAAACGTTAATTTGTTGGCACAGTCGACCCACCATTCGAACCGCGTCTGAAAAGTAAAAATACCTTGATTGTGTTTACTGATCGAGTTATTAATTTTCTGAATATTAATTAATACTTTATTTATTCATTTGTTTTATCATACGTTGCTGAAGATGTAAAGCTGTATGAACTAAACTTGCGCTGAGCCTTAAAGTGTTCTCACTGTTCGTTGTTCCTCTAGCGCTTCAAATCTTAGTGCTGCCATATCGTGTCAAATGCCTTTCCATAATTTGCGAAATTCAGGTAGATGGACTAATGACCCCCTTCGGACAGTTTATTCCAATATTCAGATCTGAGGTCACAAAAGCTTTAAATCATTTGGTAAATCTTGGCTTGACGTTCTGACCACGTTCGTGTTAATCGACCGTGAGTTTTCCTTGAAGTCCTACTTTAATTCCTCTTTCGGGAAGACATTGAAGAAAGTAGTGAATTATTATGCAAAACGACGTAGGAGAAAGCGCTTTTTCCTCATTTGCGAAAGACCCTATATGAAACCTAAAACGATGTCACTCCGAGCATAGCATAAAGACGCATTCAATTATGCTCGCTACCCAACTGCTGTTAATTTACACCTATTCTCTTCGTCTAAGAAACTTTTAAACGGATGACCGTCATCCTTATCGACTAGCTCTCACCGCAAACCCACACAAGCACCTTCGTTTTAGTGTGAATCAGTAGGCGACTGATAAAAACCTATTCTGTCCACTAAACCTACTGACAGAAAACTGACAGGTATATTCAAAGTCCGCCCATTTTATTAACTGCTTATATTGATCCTCATTATTACGAATGTTTGCGTTAAAAAATGATCCTGGCACAAATGTTACTTATCACAAAATGGGCAAAGGCTCCTAAATTTTATCCAAACATTCCTCTTTGTGACTACGTCAAGAACGGAAGTCGACGCTCCACCAACCTACTCCTATCCTGAGCATACCTGGCTAGTTGTTGTTCGCAGTCTATTCGTGATGCTAACTCGTTTGAATTATTTCTGACATTTTTACAACAATCGTAGAGCCCAACAGATTCCTAGAAATTGAGCATTCTGTGTGGTTTTCATGCAGACAGCCACATTTATTTAACCTACTGTAGCCGACTTCCGGACCACTTCCAGGCACCCTCATCAGCAGCAGGGGTCAAAGATTCTTGGACAGAATTACGAGGATCAGACAGTCAGCCAAAAATAGCCATAAATCCGCATAGTGAGTATAACATTTAAACTTATTGGATTCGATTATACTAGTGGTAGAAATATCTTTAGTGCAACTGATCAAATTGATAAAAAAATTGATTATTGCAACTAATCATTTATTACAATGAATTAATAACATAAAAATTCAAGACGCACGATACGCAGAGAGAGACTTAGCCCATAACTCCGCCCGGTGATGTTACAAAGTTGACAGCTGCTGGTAGAAGAACATTTCAGCATCAACGTTTAACGTAAGGAATGTGATAGTGATTCACTTTCATTTATGAATCAAATTCACCATAAAGATTTGGAGCGATTGAATTCAGGAAAGAATGGGGCGACGAAAATAAGCAGTCAGAATTTTTCATAACAAAAAGGCCAGTTTGACTATTGCGATGGCGAAACGTACCACTCAAGCCGTGATGCTGAGTACATCGAAATTACTCATACATTGTTTCTGACGCTGAGCGCTGAAGCGTGACAAGCTTTTACATTTAACAAGGTGAGGGGGACAAAAAACAAAACGTTTAATCGACAAATGATCAAGTTCTCTGAAGGCGTTTGTGTGAAGAACTGTTCGTATTGAATCACTCGCGACGAAGACTTAACATTACAGTATAGCTTGGTGCCAGTCGTATCCGTCCTACTTTACGTAGTAATAAGTATTTAAGTACAGTAGTTGATTGTCAGCCCAAACGGATTTCTTGGACATCATACCTGTTACAATGTGTGCTATTTTTTGTGCAGCTGTATATAAACTTATGGGCCTTACTCTCCAGCATCTAATCTAAGCGTCCCCCCTCGCAACCAGCAACCAACAAAGTTCGGAACTACGTTACCCGACGAAGTACGGCGAAGCACGCTTATAGAAGCTAATGAAGGTCTTTCATTAACTGTGATAGATTGGCTAATGAGGAAAACAGCATTAGGGGTTATAAGAACTCATAATGCAATATTAAGAAGTTATATCCAAGATAATTGCACTCCAAACAGAAACATTCTAGGAAGGATTGGAAATCACTCACTGAAAGCACAACTAAATCGCTTTATCG